TCTGCCTCGTTTCTCGGCGGTGGGTTTAGCTGCCAAGGGAGCTGTGCTCCCAAATCCAGAAGTCCATGGGTTGCTCAAAACGCATGGAAATACCTGTGGGGTTTGGCAGTGGCTGGGGTGGGGGCTGTCTGGAGCTCCTCCTTGGGCTTGGGCTGCTGCATTCTGCAGAAGGGCAGCTTTAGGCACCAAAACGAGTGCTCTGGATGTCTCCCTGTATCCTCCAGCATTAGCATCCTCACTAAAACTGCAGTACCGGCCAAGAGAGAAATGCAGTCAATGCAGATCGCAACTCTGCTTTTCCAGATCATTAACAGAGACAACGTGGATTGAATCTAGCCAATCTCAGTCCACAGCACTGAACAGCTTTTCTAGATTCAGTACAGTGCTCTTTTTCCAGGTCCTTTGCTTAAAACGCTCAGAGAAATTTGACCCGATTTGAACCCTAGTTTTGCTATTTTTAAATAGGATTTCTGAGACGCTGAATGGAGCTTGGTTACCTTATTTCAGCCGTATTATATTAGTCATTTACAAATCATGGTCTGAAAAACTGGCGAAATTTGTCTGCCGTGATTTGCTTTTTGTAAGGTCGTATTGCCTAATGCTTGTGATGAAGTGAGGTTAGTTTATGGGAGCAAGATTCTGGAGTAGCCTGCATACCTGTGCACGTTCTGCAGCCTGGGGTGGATCCAGGCTCTGAGACTAAGTCACGGGAGAGTTCTGCACGGACTTCAGTGGCATCAGGGTTTCACTGCCCTGATTACCGAAGGGGCAATACAGAGTACAAAATAAACTGGCAGAATTAGGCTTAGGCGCTTCCAAGCCTTCTTGCAATATATGCCATGCAAAATTATTAGTAAACTAAGCTAGATGAAGCAGGTAGTAATTACTTTGGTTTTTTTTCTTCTTTTCTGCAGAGGGAAAAATGTGCTGTTGATTTGAGTGCTGTTTAGAGGGGGACATAAGTTAGCTGTCTTTGGACTACTGGATCACAGTAAAAGAATACTTATAAATGAGATAAAAAGAGACAAGGAACATGCATGCAAGGTGCAGGCTCCCATCTGTTCACGGAGCACTTCAGTGCTGCACCCCAACATATAACCCCTTCGTGGCCACAGGCAAGGCAGCGCTTGAGGGCTTCCTGCAGAGAATAACCCGTCCCACAAGCGCTGACCCTGCTCCCGGGACACCCTAAATCTCCATCGCAAGCTGAAAGGAAAGTTGGACCTTGCTAAGGGTTTGTCAGCAGTCGTAGCCTTCTGTGTAATATCGGAGCAGTGGGAGACAGCCATGATACGAACACAGCAACAGTGGGAAGACTTCGACCAGTTTCTTTTCCATTTAAAAATACAGGAAAAATTATTTTTCAACAAATCCACCAAGGCAATCAAATCATATTTTCTTGCTCTTTATACCTGTTTATGCCTAAGAATAATTTCCATCTTAGTAAGCTCTCAATTTCCCAGCTGAAGATCTGGGTTTGTTTAAAGAATACATCTTTTTTCCCAGCTAGAGCTTGCATTTTTATAGAGCTCCATGATGTGAGTTTTAGACCGAGTTCTTCCTTTTTGACTGTAGCTGAGATAAAGAATTAGTAGTTTAAAACAATAACTACATGTTCCACTGTGATCAAGGAATTAGATAATCTGGCATGTTTGCTTAAGGGGTCTGTATCTTGGGGCTTTTATAGGGCAGTATTAAAGCCCTGAGCCTTCTTATTATGCCAATACCCAGAAGATTGCTTTAATGAGAAGTAAAGGGCCTTTTTCCAATTACAAGGGAATAACTGTATTAAGTTCCTGTGTTATGTCAACCTGCTTTGATTTGATTACTGCGAAAGAAATGGATTTATCTGTCAGTGTTACTTAATTAAGCCTTCTCATTGATGTTTTGCAGAGTAATATAGTGTAGTTTGCACATTTAAGTCTAAATACAAAGAAAATTGGTCGAAAGCTAAGACACGACCCCTGAAGATAAGGTACAAGAGTCGTTGCTTTTCATTTTCTGATCAGAGCCCCGAACTTCTGGCTTTGGTGGAAGAACTTTGGCATTATATGGGCTCAGGTTAACGTAAGGTAGAGGGCAAGGAGTTTTCAGACAAATTCGAGGCTGCTAAAAATTTTGCAGTCTAGGCAAATCTTACAGTTATTCCATGAGCTTAGTCTCCTAATCTCTGCCTGGTGTAGTATGCTCGGGTGAGTAGAATGACGTCTCCGTGCCTTTCTCCATGTCTTTCTTCTTCTGATATATTCCAGAGAGCACCGAAAAGGACGACTGGGCAGCAATTCAGCTAGCCATGAAATCATACTCTTAGCTGTAAGCGTGCAAGGAGTTCCCCTCACTTGACGTGACCGCCCAGCGGTTGGCCATGAGGCGAGTGTTTCCACGTGCTGTTGGGAAGTGCTTGGCGCTGGAGGGCACGGCACCAGCCTGCCCTCCCTCCCGCTGCTCCTGCCCGCGGGCAGCGAGCGCCAGAAAAGAGTTCCCGCTCCAAACGCAGCTCCGCAGCCTGTTTTTTTTAAGTGACTCATAAAAGTCCTCGTGACCACAGCATCTATGTTCCTAAAGAATAAATAAAAATGCACAGTGTAGCAGTCTGAAAAGCTTTATTGCCCTGTAAATCTTGCCCCTCGCATTAACCGTGACTCAGCGTGAGGGGCCTCGGCAACACGGGTAGTTTCAGATAAGCTAATTTTTCATAAAATGAGTGTGTCGATAAATAACGTTTCAAATGGGGAGCTGTTCGGATAACGCGGGCGCCC